CCTGGTGCAGCCTGGCCCTCCTTCCTGCTCCGTTCCACAGTCTCGCCGTGTTTGCCACCTCCCAAACTCAGCGCTCGAGCTCACGGGCAGCCAGGAGTCAGCGTTTGGACTTGCCCAGTTTGTTCAGGGTTTTCAGGAAAGCAATTGCTCGTTCTGCCTTCAGCCTGCTGTGATGGCGGGGTTCGGTGCGCGTGCTCCCCACAGCCGATGCGAGCGAGCCTGCTCCACATCACAGGGCTGCTAATTCTGGCCAGTGCTTGTCCAAGCCAAGCACCACCACCACCTCTGTGGAACTCATGACCCCGTGGATGGTTCCTCCCCAGCTGGGGGGTCTTCCCACGCTTCAGACATGTATTTTCCTTCACTAGCTCTCAGACACCCCAGGAAAGGACTCTGTAGTCGATTTATGTACCTTTCATAAATGCCTGTACAATCCTTCCCCCTCTGCACACACATTCACTGTTGAAATTGGCTCAGCATCCTGTCTTTCAAATTAACAGAATTAATGGATAAGTATTCCCAGACACCCAACATGGATAAGGAATGGGGGGAACTGGGAGGGTCTTGTTTGCTTTGGATAGCTCTGACTTTTCCTTTCAGGCTGGAACAAGATCGGCTCTAAGCACTGAAGGACAGAGCAGTCCTGACTGTCACAAATCAAGAAATAGTTTTGGATAATGGAGCTGACTGAAAAGTTCACAAAATTCCCCAAAGAAGGGCTGTCAAAGCATTGACTAGAGCGATCTTAAATGCTCTGTGGCTGTTCATGCTTTATGCTAAGCTTGTTTTCACCGTGACAGTTAATGAGTTGGCCTGGTCTGAGTACAAGTCACTTCAGCAAGAATAAACAGCTGAAAAAACACAGAGCAGGCAACAGCAGAGCAGTTGCTGAAACCTGAATTGCTGCATCTGTATTGTGCTACATTCAAAACACAACCTCTCCTTGCTCCACCAAGCAGCCAGCTGGAGGCATTGTGCTAACTTGCATTCTTCGTGTGGGTGCCTGAGAGGCCTGAATAAAACTTGACCAAGCTGCAGGTTGTGCAAAGACAAACCTTAACTGTTTGTTTTCGGTGGCTAACTCCTCAGCTTCTTTCTGGTAAAACGCAGGCTCCCCATGGCCTGCTCTCTATAGCTGCTCTACCTGAATAATGTGAACCAATTTCCCAAAGACTGACCTGGCTGTCTGCATCGGTCCCTACTGCTCGCAGATGGAGATGATGCAAAGGCAGCTGCAGCTCGTTGTGCTGCACTTCCATCGAGCAACGTGCTACGGACACCCGATGCGCAGATCCTGGTCTCGGCCTCCTCTCCTGCTCCCAGCACTGACTGTTTCTCAAGCTCTGGTGAGGCTCGTTCCTAGCAATAGCTTCTGGGAAAGCCCTGACCTATGGAAAAGCACTGGCATCTACTCCAGCCACCCCGCACTGTCTCCTGCTAAAGCCAGCAGGCTTATCCGTTGGTTTCCTTGGGAATGTAACGGTACACTTGAATAGTGCAAATGCCTTCCCCAGCTCTGCTGGGTCACCTTCCCTGCTTCCCCTTCCTGCGGTGTGGTGGGTGGTCTGACAGCTATTGGTTTGCCAAAAAACTTTTATGACTGTGTTTAATGGTCCCCGTGCTTCCCACTCTGCTTTTAAACACTCTTAGCCTGAATTAAAATGTTACTGGAGTTCTGGGGGATAGGCTACACACACACAAAAAAAAGGCAAGCATGAAAAGGGCATTTGGTTTTCCTGGCGCACTGAAATCGCTACAATCCGAATCTCAAGAGATTTGAAGGAAAAACACTTGATTCGAATGTTTTCTGTAGCTGTTCAGCTTTGATTCATCTCGTCCTTGCACTTCATGAGGAAGTTCCCCGAGAGCAGCATGTGTTTGTCAAGCATCGCTGTGGTGACATCCGGTCACAGGTTGGTGAGGCAGTGACAGTGGCAATGTGAAAACGCATGAGATGTGTGTGACTGGCTGTTAAACATGACCTTGCCCAATTTTGAAAAAAAATATATTTTTTACTACCAATTGTTACTGCCATTGAGGGGATGAAAGTATCCCAGATCAAGAGGGAACTACTGTAAATCAGTATTTTTTACCACTTTTTTTCATGGTTAGGTTTACAGGGAACCTGTGAAGGTCTTTTCGCAGACGTGTCTCCAGAGAGCAGGCCTGTGGAGCAAGAAAGGGTGGGGAGAGACTGCAAATGTCACTGCATCATGAGGAAATGTTTAATCTTAGGGAATTAAGGCCACCCATCACCACAGGGTTGCCTCGACTTTGTGGAAGATGGCACTAGAGGACATGTTAAGACCCTGGGACTTCCCTCCTGGCCCCTGACGCCAAGGAGATATTCCCACCCCACTCCGGTTTATATACCAAGGGGCAAAATAGCATGAACAGTGAGGGAATTGGGTCTTCAGGACACTGCTACTGGATAGTAGCAGGAATATATAGATGCCAGCACTGAATATAGGGGGAGAAGCATACATACATACATACATACATACATGAATGAGCTTGTGGGCATGTGTGGGCACGAAACGAGATCAGGGGACAGGGAAGTAAACTGAAATGCGAGAGGGAAGAACTTAACATAGAGACTGTGCAAGCTGAGAGAGTAACAGATGTTAGAAGAAAGCAAAAGCCACGAGAGAATCCAGACATGTGGAGAGCAGGAGCCGGGAATGCTCTTAGGCAAAAGAGAATGAGGAACATGAATATAGATGGCAAGGTGTGAACAAGCAGGCAGCCTGAAAGAAGAGATGGGGGAAAAACGCAAAATCTAGAAATGGAGAGGGAAAGGTGTATCAACACAGAATATCTAGAACAATACTTTCCAAATAAAAAATAAAAATTGTGTTCATCTGGATGTTAAAAAGTTACACATGCGAACTAAAAGGCAGTACAAGAATAATTTTATTTAATATTTTGGTAACACAGTGATTGATCTTAAAATAATCACAAAATTATCTCATTGAACAACTGCAGACTAGAAATTCTAAACGGGTGGTATCACTAAATTTGAATAACTTTACAGATTACATGAGGCATTATTTCACCAGCAGCTCGGTAGTGTGTGAGACCCACTCACAGACATCACACACCAACAAAACCACATCAGCAATGTGAATGAAAATTGCATTAATAACCAATGCATACTTAAAGCTCTAAAGAGAGTACAAAATTGCAAAAGCCTTTTTTGTTGAAATATAAAAGAGTGGTCCTTGAGTCAGAATAACTGTTCTGTTGTAGGTTATATCCTTTTTTCAATGATACTTACAAAGGTACAATGAAAAATGTCTTGCTAGCATTTGATCTAATGTAGATCTCCATAAGAAAATACTGGGTAACTTATAAAGCTTTTCACAGGTAGAGGCTAAGTTCTGGGGTATCACAGTTTTGTATGTAACTCAGAAGAGCACCTGAGGTTACTCCTTGTGGAGCCAACAAAACTGGTTCAGCTTTGAAAAAGGAGCAGAGATGTCACGTGAAGTCAAGAGGCATTAAGTGAGGGCAGCACTGCTCTATGGGGTACTTTTAAATGTTATTCAGGCTGTTGCTGAAATCAGTAGTGATGTTTCTACTTATTTTAAGATGATTGGGATGGTGTCATTAATCTAGCTCCTATCAGTGTCAGCACGAGCTCCAGGCCTGCTGCTTACACCTGGGAACGTATTGGAAGACCGGGCGTGCAGATCTTTATTTGCTTATGTCTCTGCAGAGCCACACTAGATGGTAGGATTGTGCCCTTGTTTCCTAGGTCTGCTAAGGCCTTGTTTTGTACCAAGATGAGCACCACAGGCTGCAGCAGAGGTACTCGTATTGCTGACTGATTTCCCATGTATGTGAGGGAGACCTGTTGCCACCTAGAAATGTCCAACACTTTTCAAAGTCTGGTATGTACATATGAAGGTTCACATTCAGAGAAGTATATGCTGAGTTGTGTGCACAAACATTAGCCAGAGACTCAAGGCCATAAAGTTTCATGTATGTATTTTACTTTCAAATAATAGCTTTATTTTTCATCTTGGTGTCCTTTACCTCACAAAATTTTCACAAGTACTTCTTTAGTTAACTGGTACTTTAACAGGATAAGTAACGTTAGTTATTGTTCTGTGACTTTGTTCGAAACAAATCATGCTAAAAAAAAGCAGAATAATTAATGTTTGGCTACAACATTTAACTCAGTCTAACAGAATGACTAGGGAGCAGAGTTGTTTTTGCTGTGTGCATTATCTGAGGCTTGTGGCACTGCAGTTTCAATATGACCCTCTCCCCCAGATTCTCATTCTGCCAATTCTGGCCCATCTGGATTTTAATTGGACTTCTGATTTGCTTTAGGATGGGGAGATGACATGTCTTTACTGCAGAATACTGGTGGCATCCCAGTTCTGATCCTTTCTTTCAAAACGTATTGAAGATGACTGGATTAGGACACCCAGTTTGTTCTCGTATAAAATATGAATTTTATTTAAAAATGTTGTGCTCATAAGCAAATCTATTTTTTTTAGACATATGTGTAAACACTCTGGAATGTTAAAGGCAAGACTTTACATTGGCATTTTAACAAAACTATTTGACAGTCTTTTTTTTTTTTTTTTTTT